CAGTCGGGTAAAAAAGCTAAAATTATTCATGACGGATTAAAATAATTTTATTAAATTAATTTCGGAGTGACAATTTTTCAACATTTTTTTCCAAAATACTTTAAACTCAAGTCCATCGTATTTGGATCACGCTTTTAATTAACAAATAATTATAATTTGTGTCGTGATTTGTATCTCCTGAATTAAATAATTTACCACTCTTCGAAATATAGCATATAAAATTTGAAAATACCTATGTAAATAATAATCCTCTGGTTTTTGTTTTGAAAATAAAGTGGTTTTTAACAACGTTTCAACTTTTTTAGCACTTCCACAACATTTTTGGATGGATAAGTCAGGCCACCTCTAGTTTTTTGCATTATTAAACTAGGTGCAAAACCCCTATCACTGCCAAACAACATGTCTAAACATTGCTCACATTTCACAGTGAGTTATAGAGACCATTTTTCTGACATTGCTTTTTTTATTGCAAAAACCTACAGATCAAGTGATTTAAAACATTAGAGTAGAACTCCCGAGTGACAAATTTGCTTAGTTAGGGTAAAAATAATTTTTGAAAACTGCATAATTTTTATCCGGATAAAGTGAAAAAAAAATCCTACGTACTTAAGAAAATTATGAGGTTTATATAAAGTGTAAGAGGTGATATGAATAAGATTCTTTCGAACTATATACGGCACTTCTTTGTATTGTTTTTAAATTAAGTGTAGGAATATTTTTTCACTTTATACAGATACAAAATGTATCATTTCAAAAATTATTTTTACCCTAATTAAGCAAATTTGTCACTCGGGCGTTCTACTCTAATTCAAATCATTACATCTATAGGTTTTTTGAATAAAAAGCGGATGTCCGAAAAATGGTCTCTATAACACACTGTGCATTTTAGAGACCTAGACAGTTTTTTTACAACAAAGCCAGCTATGTATGTGACCACAAATTGAACATAATTGCTTAAATTACTATTATCTAAGCAATCCACGAAATCTTCGTATAAGGCGATATTATCTTCTGGCACTTCCACAAAAGATATTTTTTCTGTTAAATTATTGCTCCGCTTAAGCGGAATGCAGTTGCCCACACCTTCGTTTTTTATTTCCGCCTGAATTACTAATATTTTAAATGCAACCTTAAATTTGACAGCGTTTGGATTATCATTAAAACCGCTACGTGCTCTAATTGAGGAGAAACACAGTTCAAGGTGATCTTGACCCACCTTGTATAGAGTTAGATATTTGAGTAAGGCCGTATCCGAGCAGAATGGAAAATATAGGAATTGGTTTTGGTTTCCATAGTCTAAGCATTTCAGTATCAAAAAAATATCCATAAAGTTATGCCAACATCTTGTCACATCATCCAAAGGGAACGTAACTTACGACATTTTATTTTTCCACCCTGTATGGAACGTAACCACTAAGTTGTCATTTGTCTAGTTTTCACGCGACTTGGCGTATGGCATCCAATCTTAACTACCTCCGACCACTCCTTGTATGTTGACCGCTAAAGGTAGAGATATATTTATAAATCGTGACAAATTCTCAAGTAACAAAGGGACAGTAAGTTATCAGTAAGTAATAATTTAGTTAACTGTGCTTCGTTGAAAGAGACTCTGTGGTTCAATTCCTGCGGTGGAAGTCGGAACTCAAAACATACGAAACGGGAATACTTCAAACCAATATAGACTAGCACTGTCCTTACAATCAATGTTTTTTTATGACTCTGGATAATTGAAGTTACTAAGTATAAAGAGCTAATATATACGCTCAAAAACAGCACAAACTACACGTGCGTGAGAGTAGACGCAAAGGGCACGCGCGGCAGCAATGTTAACGCCAGTGCTAACGGCGTAAACTTATTTTAACCAACATTTCAACCTTTTCAAAGTCAATTTTGTAGTAGTCTTATAATAAATGAATGGTAAACTAGTGCACAGAATGCTGTATTTAAAAAAATGTCTTGTAAGTCTCTTAAAACAATCCCTCAGTCTCATTTTGTTATTATTTTTTTATGTACATGCTTTCCTTTTTCTTCTTCTTCCACTAAAACCAATCTAATAATAAAGTTGCATGCTTTCCTTTTTCTTCTTCTTCCACTAAAACCAATCTAGTAATAAAACTTTTTCACTGCGTCTAATAACGCTAAATGTTCCTTGTGAAGCTGCACATCTCGACGCGCATTTTTGCTCTCGTGTGTTTTGCGACCAAGAGTACGATTGAGCCCACGCGAGGATTTTTCCGTTTAGCCTACGTCGATTCTTAGAAAGCGCATAGAAAGCGTGTACCTTTACATCTTAACGGAACGACGACTATTATTTCCACACTCACATTTTTACGTTATTACGTGGTTGTGATATACTAATATCACAGTATTATTTTGTACTAGGAACTACAATCAGAAATTACTCTATTTTCCTTAAAACATTTTAAGACCATTATCCACAAAGCTAAAAACAGAGAAATACATTTCATGATCTTGGACTCAAATTCTTCAATTTAAATATTAGAGTTAATAAACATAGAAAGTAATATAAAAAACGATGGAGAAACTTAACTTTTCTGCTATACCGCTAATGTCACATAATAGTTTAACACATACCACCTTTCATATAGTTCATTACAAAGTTTGAAAATATTAAGCTAAAAATTGATTTAACAAAAATAAGGTCCTAAAACTACGCGGACTTGCCTACTAGTTACTAACTAAGCGCACCGGTTCGGGAGCTATTCTAACAAAAAGTTGGCCTTAAAATAATTTCATACATACAAACTTTATTATAAATCGCATTTTATAAAAAAATGCATCAAATTAAACTATTTAATCTATGTAACGTGGTAGTATTCATATGTATAACATATATAGGAAGTACACTTTTATATAGCAAGCAGTGGGACTGCGAGAAACAAGGCTCATCGTGGTCTCTCTTGTGGGACAAATTAGTGGGACCACGAGAAAACGGCGGGATTTAGATGTGTCATTTTACAAATAAAAGAGTTAATAAATAATAATTGACTTAACCAGTTTTCACTTCAGATTTGCAGATATTGCTGCATTTCTACTCACTTCCCGAAAGGCTTATTGCTATTGACTTTATCTTACTTCATCAACAACTAAATATGATCATAATGGTTTTTCAAATTCAATTATAGGAGCAATGAAATAGTAACAAAAATTAACCGATCAGGTGCTACAGACAACTATCTATCGTAACATTAAGCTAACACATTATAACACGATTTAATTATAAGAACGTGGAACGTGAATACTAGAGCACATATTATGCAGTGGATAACTTTTTATTATGACAAATTATAAATGAAGCTTTAAATGAAGATTAAACGCCTGCGCACAACGGTTCATTCATTCGTTTTGTAACTGCGGTTTATGCGGTTCACTGAACGTACCTACCCTTTAAGTTAGTTATAAAGGAAACTATTAGTACTTTGGAGGGGAGGTACATTTCCGCTCACCTTGAGTGACAACTTTGTGGTGAACTTACAATTATTGTTATTGCAAAAGCTTCTGTAAATTTTAGCGGTTCAAGTTGATTTTCATTTCCTACTTTCCTTTCTTTTAACCTTCCGGTGGTCGCACTCTTGCGCCGAACATAAGCAGTCGCGTGTGGCGTGTCAGACCGCACCTTTACGCGTTTAGTTTGAGAAGACAAAATAGATATTTTCATGACAACGTAGCATATGATAAAAAGATGTGTTTTATCTATATCTATTAAATGAAAAAAAATTATATGTTGAATTTGTACTTATTAGTTTAACGGTGTACAAAATTTTAGTCATATTACAAAAAAACAACAAAACAAGACGAACACACTATAAAAATTTTTTATCGAGATCAATCAAAATTATCATAGTAATCATATTAAATTATCATATAATTTTTTTCGAAAACAACCCATCGCGCGCGGAATTTGAGACCAAACACAAATAAAGATACATGTGCGCTTGCGACGAATGTCTCAGGGGTACCAAGGGGAAGTACGTCACTCCCTCGAGGATATCAAGGTCACTGCGGTCTTCGGGACCCATACAAAATCAAATCAAGTCATAATCTTTAGTACACAGCAATAGAGCTCCGTGTGAAAGAGTTCGTCCAGGAGTTACCTATTTCTGCCGCCAAGCAGTAATGTAAGCATTACTGCATTCCGGTTTTGAGGGGTAAGAGTGCTGGTGACATTACAGGCACATGGCACTTGTCAACTTGTCTCAGGGTGACAGGCGCAGTGACAGAGCCCCGCAGATCTTTGCGATTGGCACTGCAACTGGTGTAGACAGGCGTATTGCTTAACACCAGGCGCACCGCTTGTTCGTTCCGTCACTTGATATTATAAAAAATACTTATCAAATATTATAATTAACTAAAAATTGAAAAGGCAAATCTTTCTAGTTTGAAAACATACAGTGTGGTATTAGGAGATAACTGTTATAAGTGCAAATGAAGTAAGAAAGAGAAAACAGGGAAAGTAATACAAATACAAGGCGAAAAGAAACTGTGGTCATACAGGTCAACTGTCTGTATGCTAATTGGAAATTAGTACCTATTGTTACACAGTTAGACAAAAAGTGTTTTTGTCTAACTGTTATACATTAACAGTGATTAGGTTGATGGAAACCTTAGTAAAGAGAGTGTAATCCGTGGAAACGAGAGAAAATCTTGAACAATGTAATTTAATAATCGTACGGCAAGCGAAATGTGTCGTCTATCAATATATCATTCCACAAACTCGCAAGTAATAATTATGACGCATCAGCTGCAACAAGAAATCACCCATTTGCACATTATCATCATACCATGTGTAGTAACAGAAGCGTCGCAGTTACTTTCTTCTACAATTAGCTTCGCTCAGATACACGCACCGACATTTTCGCAATCTTTCCAGAAAATAGAGCTGCTGCTAAGTGCGTTAAAAGATGACCATAATATCAAAACACAACTAATTAAATTATATATTTTCAATTAAGTAACACTTTAACGTTTCCTTATTACAGATGAGCGTGACAGCGACATGTGCCCAGACACACCAGCAGACAAATGAAATACAAGATATAGAAAGGAAAACAACGAAGCATCTTTCTAAAAGAAATTCGGTAGTAATTGTTGATGCTTATCCATTAGAATTCACAGACACAAAAAATCCAAAAGTCATCTACAGGAGAATATCAAAACAGAGATACCGTGCACCCAAACCTAAGTTCAGTCACCCAAAACCAAAATACGGTATTCCGAAAAAACAAACAGCAAAAAAAACCTACATAAAACATAAAACAAAGAAAGTGAATCCTAAATTTGGCCCAATGCCCGGTAAGCGTCCTCGTTTACCAAAACCAAGGCATCCACGACCAATCCCGCCAAGACCTAACTTAAACAACAAGTACATTCTTAACAAATACAGCACCCCGAAACATGCCACTCAACAACAGGCTTATTTTACTGATACAACCGGCTTTGGAGAACCACCTCAGATACAGATGGCACCGAAAGAATTTGAATTCAAAAAACCATTACAACCGCTTTACGCAGAACCTCCAGTAGACTCGTACGGGGCACCTTTGAAAATAACTACAAGTGAATCTTCAAATCCAGACGAAGAATATATTGATGCAACTGTTTCTTACAGCAACAACCATGAGCACAATGGTGGCTTGCTCAATGATGATAATGGGGATGTGCTGAATTACCACCGATGGCAAGACTTCCCCGCTAATCGAGATAACAACCATGCGCTTTCAAATAAGCAACAATCCATTCTAATGATGTCCACGAATGATGATCAAACAGACTTGTATGAAGATATAAACCTAAAAAGCTACTCTGACATTTTCAAATATAATCCAAAGAATCCAGGGATAATTTATGACCACCGCAAGATTGTGAACAATGAACTGAAACAGAATAGCCAAGTGTATTTGAATAAACCATGGAAAGTATCGAGCTTAAATAATCAAGACCGCGACCAGATAATAGTGGGAGGCCAATACGCAGAGCCACCCGGTAGATTCGTGCCGAAAGAAAATCCTAACCTGTCTGTTTACTTTGATGAAAACTACCTGTTTTCCGCTTTCGCCAAACCAGAAACCGCTTCTTCAGCGACTATGTCGTCTTATGTTAATTATAAACACAGTAACATGGCTTTTAGCCCTCAAAATTTGAATGACGCGTTTGGTATAGTAGAAAATTAACTTTTGATTTGTAAGTTCTTGTACATTTTACAGAGTATGCCTAACATCGTTAGGCACAAAATATATCGTTTTTTGTAGAGTGCAATGCGCATTTAGAAGGTGTAATAAATTAAGTTACATTAGAATTATTATAAGTTATAACAGAATAGACAATCTACCTAAACTTAGGAAATAGTAAAACTTAGTAAAATTATTGATTAAGTAAAAGATTTTTTTTACTGGTATTGATTAATAAAATGACACATTTTTTGTAATTATTCTAGAAGATAAGTTAAATAAAATAACGATATACATGATCTAATACTATATTATCAGAAGCTTAAACAAAGTTCTATCAAAAGCTTAATGACAGCTCATTCTCTTCATTTACAAAACTAAAATAAACTAAATTAATCTAAAATCTCGACCAACAAAATTATCCACGCAATCTTTTATAATAATCAGTCCATCTTAAACTAATACAATACGTACAAATGGAAAATCAAAGTTAAGTATTTATTTAACTTCAGCATATGGTTGTGACAAAAAGGCTTGGCTATTAACACATATTAATGATTTATGACCACATGGTGAACTGCAAATACGAGTAATACTACATACTGTGAATGCTTACAGCTTTTAGTCAGGACCTAACAAAATGGCAAAACTTGTCTTCAACGAAACTAATTTATCAAGTTCCATACACAAAAAAGGAAACAAGTAAAAGTGAGTACAGTATCAGCCTTTCACTCTCTTGTTTCATACATGTATTTTTTTAAATCTTCCTTAGAATATCTTCCTTTTATATAATAATACCTTTATCTTTACTCTTCGATCATAAAGAAAGAAATGTGAAATGTGCAGTTTCAGGAAACTTTGCAACACTTCAAGACCCAATCATGTGAGTACTAAATTTATTGAAATTGCAATTAATGAAAAAAATCATAAAAGGTTAAGTTGCAGCAATTATTATATAACCTTTAGCAATTTTGATAGGCCTTGACCACAGGGACAATATCGTATATCGTCATTATATCGTGATATATATGTAGAATATATAGGTGTACGTAAATACTTAAAAACAGTTTCCTTAAAAAATTACCATCGTCTAGGTTTAGAGTGATGCGTTAAAGACGTATTTCGTTTTGTCAGGCGTCGCTTTCTCCGAGCGTTGCCGCAAGCGGCGCGCGCCGCCTCACAGGCGCAATGCGCTGCCTGCTTCGTTGCGGCGCACTCCGCGCAGGCGCACTGCAGTTTGTGTTGTAGGTGTGCCAACCTTGCTCTAGCTTCCGATAGATTATGACTTTTCTCTTGCAAGCCAAACTTAGTCTTTTCTAGTACACAACGTGCACTCTTCTCAAGCTGGCCCGCAAGTTCCGCAGCTTGACATAATAGTTTGTGCTGTGAAGAATGTTGAATGAAAGAACTTAAAAAAACATTTCAGCTAATCAAACTAAATTTCGAGATAAAAAAATTAAATCATTCAAAATTAAAAACTAAAATTCTAAATCATGAATTCATAACTTGAATTCTAAACCTATTTTTAATAAAAATAAAATATCTTCAGTATGGGTTTATTTTTACTACATTATAAGGTTTTTTCACGAGTATTGTACAGTCAACAGCACGTCAAGCTTGATACTTTGTACTTTGGACCGTTGTTATCTAACCGGCACATAGTTGGATTCAAATCTTAATAGTTAAGCTTGACGTGCTCTTGACCCTGTACAACTACGTGGGCGGCAGCAAATGGCAGCATTTATTAAGTAGTTCACACCAACGTGTCAACTTTTACGGTACAGATTATAAAAATCGAAACATTTAATTTTCGTCCGTTTTGGAATCTTTTGCAATTATAGAGTGATGAGATGACATACTAACACATGATTGCATACACAAAACTGGGTCAATCCAAATTGAACAAACATACTTTTTAAACATTGGTATTGAGTAATTAGGTAGACACGCAATAGGTAGGACAATAGGAAAGCGGTACCAAAGTACATAGGTAGGTAGCGAAGAATCGGCGTTCAATTAAGTGCAATTTACACACGACGACTTTTAGCAGCGAAGCAAATGCGCGGCCGTGAAACGCGCTGTTGCATCGCTGCACTCGCTGTTTATGGGCGATTGCTTCGATGGAAAGACGACTGCATCGATACAGTCTCTTATATTGAATAATTTATATACTAAAAATCTGTAAAGCTTATGCACATTTTTTTTTGTTAATTGCAAAGTAGGATGTTGAAAGCTGACCACATAATCATTAAATCAACGAAGAGCCGTTCATTGACTTTGCTAGAATAACTTTACGTTTTAGTTCATGCCTAGTTATCAATATTTTTGTGTATATTTTTAAGTCGGCAATAAAGAGATTGTAAAACGTTTAGAATAAATGCAAGAACACATCGCAATTAATTCAGTTCGACCTTGGATTATGTAACGTTCTTGTGCGTTTAATTTTGAGCATAATTTAATGTTTACCTACCTAAAGGATTGGTTATATTATAGTACACATATAAAGTACTAAAGCTCTAATATACCTAAAGCTCTAATATAATAAATACCTAATCAAATAATCATTTAAATAATTTAATGCCATTAGATAAAGATAAAATTAAAACAATGCGACAAAAATGTTTAGGTAATATTTAAATGAGTGTTAAGAAAGTTCTATTCTATTTCCTTAATGGCGGCCACTAGGCTTGGGCCAGTGTCAGTTTCGATTAATATTGTCAGATAATATTGATCAATAACGCCAACGTTTCGGTAGCAGCACGGTATTTATTTTTAGACGAATCTCTTCGACGGAATGCTGTTTTGGAGATCATACCTGGCATAAGAAAGTTAGCAAAGGAACGTTTGGACAAGAGGCCTTTTGCCAATGTCAATGTCATATTGAGGTTGAGAACAGTGTGACTGATTAAATTTTTTAACATTTTCATTGCGGCAGAACATGTTAACGTTGTATTAAATGTAGTAGAGTTTAGCAGATTTGGGAATATTTAGCAAGTTCTTTATTATTTATGGGAACAAACTTGCTACTGCGAACAAACATCTGAACCGAAATACAGGACTATGTTATAACATAACCTATATAATCTTTGTAACCCCAGTTCTACAGACTGTACTCACTTAACTTTTTTGGTGCTTTGATAATGAATCACAAGTATTGATAGGCCTCTTTAATGCACGTCATTAAAAACACTGGGTCACAAAATACACGGGATATTCCCATCCTTCTTTAAAAGTGAAATTAAATAAGTAAATTAGTTAATTTAAAACGTGTATCGCGTTTGCAAGTCGCGCGCGCGTTAAAGGTAGACGATTAGCGACTGCATCGCTACTCCATCGCTGTTAAATGTCGCCGTGTGTAAACGCTCTTAAATCCTTTGAACAGCTTTTGAGTGTTTGCTATTATAAAAAGATCGCTATGACTTCATGTGTTGAAAGATTTTAATCTGTGGTAACTATAAGAGTTTTAACAATAACCGATACCATATGATAGAAAGGAGTTTTTTGAATGAGAGAAAGGCATATAGAGACACAGAAAAATACATGGTCCACACACACAAACGCATGCAAGCACGCGCGCTTTATTCCCACATTATAAATTGTGATAAAAATTGTAATACATATAATAACGATGGAGCCACCGAATAAGCGTGCATTATCTACGCGTTGCACGTTTGCACGTTTGCACGTATGCACGTTTATCACATGTTACACGTGATTATTCGGTGGCACCGTCGATATATGATTAAAAACTACAGGTTAGAGTGCCTTTCCACCAGAGATGTAGAGGTAGCAAGGCGGTGTGAGAGGATGTGCAGCGGCGCTGTGCGAGGATGCGTTACGGACTCTTTTCAGCTATGCGCGGGCAGGGTACTGTATGCGGGGAGCGGTGGCGATGAGTCAATATTAGTCATACTTTCGTCACCCTTAAAAAATCCACGTTTGTGGAATCCTTCTTTACGAGTGTCATACCTACTTAATTTCAACAAACACTAATTCGACTCGACAGTACTTCGACTACACATTAATTCGACGGACACTACTTCAACAAAACACAAGTTCGATAGGTCACTAGTCCGACAAAACGCTGCTTCGACAACACAAACATTTGTTTACCTATCGAACAAGTGTTTTGACGAAGTAGTGTTCCGTAGAATCTAATCGAAGTACTGTCGAGTCAATAGTATTTGTCGAAATTAAGTATGACACTCACTTCTTTATTGTCGTACAAATGTAATGCAACAAACGACGATGCATTGGAGTAAATTTCCAGTGAAATAAAATCTAAAAGCAGTACGTAATGATATACATTTATTTTTACAACATAGGTCTCTTCTTCTTCTTCTTCTTGTCCTTATCCCACGCTAGGTGGGGTGGGCACAACATATATTTTTCTCCCACTCTCCCCTATCAGCCGTCATTTTTATACTCACACCTTTTTATCCATGTCATATTTCACAGAATCCATCCATCTTTTCTTTGGCCTTCCTTTCCCCTTATATCCATCCTTATAACATTCATACCTAGCACTCTTCTCGTCACATGACATTCTTCCCTCGGCATAACATGTCCGTACCACGCTAACCTATTACTCCTAATCTTTTCCGTCACTGGCACCACTCTCAAACTTCCCCTGATGTACTCATTCCTTATCCTAATCCTTTCTCGTCACTCCACACACAATAAGTATAATATACAAGATAAGTATTAAAGTCTCTGATGAATTCGTAACGAAATACTGGTGTCATGCTACGACACTTTTCCTTCATTATTGAAATAAGAGCAATATTTCTCTCTAATTATGAAATAAAGAGACTATCTCTTGGTCCGACGACGGTGATGTTAGGAACGAATACAAGAGTACTTGTTTTATGTCTGGAGTAAACAGCAAACAATAAGGCTGTGATTCAATTAAACAGATATGCAATACACACGAGGCTTTTACGACTTAGTCAACTGTTGCTACATACACTGCATTCAAAGTCTTTACAATACACATACCGTTATCGCGCCAATACTACGAATGTGGCATCTACAATGCGACGGGCCCTCGAAAGTCTATAGTTAAATATGCGTTTTTGTGGGTCCAACTGTCCCTGGGGTATAGACGCAAGAAAATTTCCATTAAAGGGAAAGCCTCGTCCCCAATTAACACAAACACTATCAGATTCAATCTTTTTTCATTTAAATATCTTCCAAAAACACTATCATCAAATATTCCAGCATCACTGAATCTTACCATGGATCCCACATCAACCATTATAATCTTTCTCATTGCGTCAGCTAAGCACATAAGCACCATAGAAAATTGATGTTTGTAGTTACAAAAAGAAGACCCTAATTTTGGAGGACAAGTGAATTAAACATGTTGACCATCAAGAGCCCCTAAGCAATTTTGAAACTGGTATAGTTCTTCGAAATCTTTCGCAATTCTCTTCGTTCCTCATCTTTGGTAGGTTTTGGCATAATAAGGGGTTCTAATACCAGGCAGAGAGCATCACAAACTTATACTACAATTCTTGGCACGGTTGTTAGTCCAATCCTGAAACTTTCCGCCAATCTTGTAAATGACTGATCCGTTGATAAATACCTGAAAAAAGTCGCAAGTAAGTGCATGTATAAATCAAAAGGAAATGGTAACATATGTCTTATTAAAGTACATTAAATTATGGTTAACTAGTGAAAATGTCGTATGGCGTTAAGTTTGCGTTCTGTAATATAAATATATATAATAACATAAATTGTACACGTTTTGCACAGTGTGTTTGCACACTAATCTTATGTTGTGTTATTTCAGTTCAAAGTGCTAAGTCTCGTTAAAAACACCTTCGAGATAAGTTAACGCGATGCGCTGAAAGGCGGAAAACTAAAAAAGGCGGACAGGCTGCATCCAAAATACGTCTGTGGAAATATCAAGGGCATATGGAATTTCTCGTACCATACATGCTCAACAAAGGTAGAGAATCAAGTTATACAAAAGATTCCATTTCATCACCTCTCGTATCATCCACAGAATAATTGAGCTTACTGATGGTAATACTGATTGATGATACATGGTTTTGTACTTATAATTAATAAATACTTAACTAATTTTTTACTTACTTTAAACACAGTGCCAATATTTCTTTGGTACTGATACAGCACCTGTAGTGTGTGTCAGCCCTCTTGACAATATTCTCGATTAAGTTGTGTAACGCATAAAAGGTATTTCTACACGTCCGATAAGAGCTTTCGAATGTGTCATTGTCAGCTGTTACAAAAAATGTAAAAAAGCTCTCCATGTAATCGATGATATTGAATATGGTTACTTATCCAAAATCTGTGCTTTCTTCTATGACTCAAATTTAAAACAGAAATTACTTTTGTGTTTTGTATATAATATAATG